ATGGTTCCCACAACCCTAGTTATGGAGTTTAGTTACCCATAGTCATAATCACAATATTCAAATATATTATATAAGAATTCATGTACTTACTTCAATGAGAAAGAGTAAAATCCGAAAGTTTGCTTGATTAATCACCAAAACCCACCAATAATCACTTGCAAGAATCTCAAAGTAATCAATAATATCACAAAAAGTCTAATGATAATCAAAAGGTTTCTAACAATGCGGAGTCTAATAATGATCCAGAGTCTAACCCCAAAAATGAGGTTTTTCGAACTATTTAAAGAAAATAAAAACCTAATTAAACAAGGATTCTATTTGTTGGAAGTCAAAACGCGGCTGGGTCGACGGACCTCGCTACGGATCGTCGTGGTCACGACGGACCGCCATGGACTCCGTCGTCCCATACTTGTGTAATTTCTTCTGCTTCTCTCTTCATTACCCTCGACGACAAGTATGACGGACCGTCATAACGACGGTCCGTCTAGGGTCTTCATTCCAAAACACTTAAACTCTTGGAATATGGGTACTGGGATTACTTCTCTGAACTTCATGACGAACCTGCAAGAAGGACCGTCATAGACACGACGGACCGTCATGGACTTCGTAACCCCACACTTGGTCAGACTTCCCATCTTCCTTCAGCAGGTGCACTACGCTGCCACCTACGGACCGTCACAAGCTCCGTAGGTGGTCTTTTCTGCATTTCTTCGCTAAAAAACCTCTGCATTCATCTTTGGACAGATTTCCTGCAAATAAGGAGAAACTTATATAAAAATTAGCACAAAAAGGCTTTTGGACACACTAAACTTAAGGAAAAAGTATTAATAATACCGTGAAACCACGGTATATCAATGCTCAAACAAGCTCATAACTTAATTTTAAGAGGACTCCCCGCCATGGCTGTCCTAACACGTACATATCAACTGAATATCCTCCCCAATGTTCACCATGTAAAATTTACAATTTCCAACTCACTAACACATATCAAGTGCCAATTAACTCAAGCACAAGAGGGAGAAATTGTTATAGCTTACCTT